GTCAAGAGAATGAGAAGACAAGCCACAGGCTAGAAGGAAATATTTGTGAACATTTCTGATAAAAGACTGTTACCCAAAATATACAAAGAATTCTTATAACTCAACAATACGAAAACAAAAAAACCCCCAAACAATTAAAAAGTGGGGAAGTGACCTTAACAAGACATCTCACCAGAAAAGATATACAGATAGAAAATAATATATGAAAAGATGCTCAACATTTTATGTCATAGGGATTTTCAAGTTAAAACAATGAGATACTACTACACACTTATAAGAATGGCCAAAATCAAAAACACTGACAACACCAAGTGCTAGAGAGAAAGTGGAACAACAGAAACTGTCATTCTTTGGTGGTGGAATGCAAAATTGTACTACTTTGGAAGAGAGTTTGTCAATTTCTTACAAAAAGATGCCCTTAATCTATGTTCCTGCAATTGTGCTCCAGCATTTTCTTACAGAACTAAATATACCCTTAACATATAATCCAACAATTGTGCTCTCTGGTACTTACCCGAATGAGTTAAAAACTATGCCCATACAAAAACATAGACATCCAAACAAATCTGCACACAGATGTCTGTGTAGCAACTTTATCCACAACTGCCAAACCCTGGCAGCAACTAAGATGTCCTTCAGTAAGTGAATGGATAGATAAACTGCGGTACATCCAGACAATGGAATATTATTCAGCAGTAAAAAGGAGCTATCAAGCCTTGAAAGATATGGAGGAGTCTTAAATGCATATTACTTACTAAGTGAAAGAAGCCAATCTGACAAGGCTGCACATACTGCATGATTCAACCATATGGCATTCTGAAACAAGGCAAAACTATGGGAACAGTAAAAAGACCAGTTGGCTGCCAAGGGCTGGTGCAAGGGAGGGATGAATAGAGAGAGCACAGAGGATTTTTAAGATAGTAAAGCTATTTTGTATGATACTGTAATGGTGGGTATTTGTTATCATACATTTGTCAAAACCCAAAGACTGTACAATACCAAGAGTGAACCCTAATGTAAACTCAGGACTTTGGATGATAATGATGAGTCAACGTAGGTTCACAGATTGTAACAAATGTACTATTCTGGTGCAGGCTGTTGATGGGGGGGAGTCTTTGAATGTGTAGGGGCAGGGATGTTACAGAAACCCCCCTGTGGGTTCTATTACTCTGGGTTCTTTTTACCTGCTGCCAGTGTGACGATGACTCCCAATGCCAGAATCTTATGAAAAGGAACTATTTATTCAAAAGTTATACAGGTTTGAATATATGGCGGAACGTTGCCGTTAAATCCCAAAATCCCTTTAAAACACCCACACTCACACACAGTCCTGCCTCCCCTTGCCAAACCAGGCCAGTCAAGGGTACCATATCTCAGGAAAAGAAACAGAAGTCTGCAGCTCAGCTAGATTCCAGTTCTTAATCCAAAACTGCATCCTCCTGGTGGGCCAGGGAATCCTTCCGCATTCTTTCAAACCGCATGGCCAAGGCCCCGCACTGCAGCTACATCATCAAGAGGCTTCACCTTCCCTAGCAGCATGGTCAAGAGCGAACGAGAGAAAAAAGGCATCTCATGACTCTCCTACTCTCCTTACCCCATAGTCCAAAGCTCAAGTAAAGGCGGGGGGGGGGGGCATGGAGCGAGAGCATATGCGCGCCAAACCTCAAGGTTAGGCCGTAGCACGACTGCCCCACCTGGGTTTAAATCCCAGTGCAGATCTTCCTGTAACCCTATTTCTGACTCCTCCCACACTGGGTTACACCTGCCAGCACTCTGACTTTTTCTGCCTTTCTCAGCCGCCATTGTTAGTCTGGGCAAGCAGGCAACTGTGGCCCTCTCTTTGCAGGCGCAGGACGCCCCCTGGCTACTTGCATTAGGGGTTAGAGTCACACCCATCTCCCAGGAGAGCAGGCACAACTTTTAACATAACTACACTTGCCAGGTTCTTCAGATATGCAAAGCAGCTCTCAAAAGCTCTGCTCCACTTCCCAAGTGAGAGCTGTAGGGGTTTTGGGATTTTGGGGGATCTCTACCTAAGCAAGCCATTATAGGGAAATATGAGAACTCTGTACTTTCCACATTACTTATGCTATAAACCTAAAACTGCGTTAAAAAATAAAGTCCATAAAAAACAATGCCCTGGTTGGTGTGGATCACTGGATTGAGTACAGGCCTGCAAACCAAAAGGTCACTGGTTTGATCCCCAGTCAAGGCAAATGCCTGGGTTGCAGGCCAGGTCCCCAGTAGAAGGCATGTGAGAAGCAACCACACATTGATGTTTCTCTCCTCTTTCTCCCTCTCTTCCCCTCTGTTTAAAAAATAAATGAATAAAATCTTTTGAAAAGTTTTAAAAATAGAATTAAAAGAATAGGCAAAGGCATTAACATTTCTTCAAAGATATACAAATGGCCCATATGTATATGAAAAGATGTTCAACATCACTAATTAGGGAAATGCAAATCAAAACCACAGTGAGATAGTTTACACCCATGTGGATGGCTACTTAAAAAAAAATAAACAAGTGTTGGTGAGGATGTGGAAAAACTGGATTCCTGTACAATGTTGGTGAGAACATAAAATGGTGCATCCTCTATATAAAACAGTATGATTTTCTTGAAAAATTAAACATAGAATTACCATATTATAAGAAAATATATATTGGTGTCTGTCTCTGGTTCCTGACACAGAGCTCCTGAAACCCTTAAAATTTCCTAAGTGGTAAGAGCACTAGGTGCATCTTTTGTTCTCATATTTGGTTTTTGACCCAAGTTCCTAAACTGGCTGGTCCCTTGTAACATCCTGAGTGATACAAGTGTCTTTGTTCTACTGAGTGGCTCTTGGGTTGGCTTCTGGATGGCTCCTGGACAAGGGCTGGTCACCAGAAACAACAAGCCATGATTAGAAGTTGGAATTTTCAGCCCAATCCCCATTTTTTCAGAAGAAAGGTTGAAAATGCACTTAAAGATCAATCATGTCTACATTAGGAAGCCTACATAAAATCCCAATAGTATGGGGTTAAGAGAGCTTCTTGGTTGGTGAACACATCCACGTACTGGCAGGAAGGCACATCCCAACTCCATGAGGACAGAAGCTCCTTCTCTTGGGACCATCCAAAAGAACTTGCCCTATGTATTCTTCATCTGGCTATTCATCTCTATCCTTTGATAAACTGGTAAATAAAAGGGTTTTCCTGAGTTTTGTGAGCCACTCTAGCAAATTATCAAATCTGAGGATGCGGTCATGGGAATCTCCAATATGTGGCCAAGTCAGACAAAAGCTATGGGTAACCTGGGGACCTACTACTTGTGACTGGCATCTAAAGTGGGGTGGGAGCAGCCTTGCAGAACTGAGCTCTTAACCTGTAGGATTTGACACTATCTCCTGGCAGATACTGTCAGAATTGAGTTAAATTGTAGGACACACAGATAGGGTCACAAAGAATTGTTTGGAACTGGGGGGGTGGAGGGTGGGGGGGAGCCCACACATTTGGTGACCAGAAATGTCAGAAGTGTTCTGTGTGAGAAGTAGAGACACAGGAGGAAGAACTGGGATTTTCTGATGGAAAAAGTTTTTCACCAAAACACATTTGATTCAGCAATTCCAGTTGTGACTATATATCCAAAAGAATTGAAAGCAGAGTCCTGAAAAGCTATTTTTATGCCTATGTTTATAGTAGTAGTATTCATAATGAGGTGAAAGAAACCCAAATGTCCACCAACAGATTAATTGGCTTTACACATAAAATGGAATATTTCTTTAGCCTTAAAAAGGAAATTCTACAATAGGGATGCACTATGAAAATGTGCCAATTTAAACAAGCCAGTCACAAAAAGACAAATATTGTATGATTCCACTTATATGAGCTTTCTAGAATGTCCACTTTCAAAGAAACAAAAAGTAGAAAGGTAGTTCAAGGGCTGGGAGGAGGGGGAAAATGGGCAGTTCTTTGATGAGTGTAGCATTTTGCAAGATGAAAAAGTTCTGGAGGTTGGTTGCGCAAGAATGTGAATATACTTAACACTACTGAACCTTAGTACCCTTAAAAATAGTTAAGATGGTTAATTTTTAATGTTAATGTGTATTTCACCACAATTTAAAAAATTAAAAAAAATTAGCTCACTTGACAAAATAATTCCAAAATTCTACTTCAAAAATATAAATACTAGAAATCAAGTTTCTTAGTGCATCAGAGCTTCATAATTCATTTTCCAGAACAAATTCCAACTGCTCCGACAGGGTGAAAAGGGCTGGGGGAGCTCATGTAATCAATTGGCTGAACTAGAGCAAACAAGTGAATTCCACTTAAGTGACACTGAGCATTTTAAATTCCGAATAATTTCTGCCCACTGGATATTGCATCATACCATAAAACTAGTGCGGTATTTTGTCTAATTTAGAAAGCATCCATTTCCAGCAACTGCCCCGTAATACTCAAACCTATCTTGAGTTCTAGGTCCTGCGGAGAGAAAATAGTAAACCAGAATTAATAAGGTCCTTGCCCTCACAGGTCTTACAATCTAGCAAAGGAGACAAATAGAAAATCAAAATGCGTTCACACGCCCTAACGCACAAACATCCCAGCGGATAACTCGGTGCTGGCGTACTTCAAAATGATCACACAATAAACTTATTTTCCGAAAAATAACCATAGGTTCTTTTGATTTAAAGATGCCAAGGTAAGGCTATTGAGGTTTTCATCCGTCCCTTTCTACACAGAAGACGACAGGGTTCAAGTAGAATGGGCTCCAGTTTTGATTTCTGAGCCACAGCTAGGAGGCCTCTCGCAAGCGGCCTGCACTCTCTGAACCCCGGCCGCGGGGAGGGCGCTCTTTCCCGGAGCCGGTGGAGGGGAGGAGGCCAGCCTCTTCCTCGGAGACCCGCCGGGAAAGGCGCTGTCCCTCCGAAACCGGAAACCCTCCTCCTGAGACTGACTGCGCAGCAGGACCGACCAGAAGAGGCCAGAGGAGACGGGAGGGAGGCCGAGGGAGGCGGCGACGTACCCATTCGGATGTGCACGCTAGCAGACGCCACGCAGCTGCCATAGTTGAAGTCGTCCTCTATCGAGGAACAGGGATAGTGGGGGTCAGAGTTGGCCATGCTGGCAGTAGAAGACCCAGCTTACTCCGAACAAGGAAGGCGACGCGGGCCACAACGGCCGACGGCCACTTCCGTATGAAAAAACCCAGCCCGAAGTAGCCAAACGGCTTACGCGGAGAGAAACCTTAGCCAATCCACGCTCTCGCCTCAGAAAGAGGTTAGGCTGAGAGAAAATTGCTTCTTGTTAGGGTTGGAGAGAAGACGCGGCGCATTCTCAGCGTCATCTGAAGTGCTTTCACCTCAGAAAGAGGTTAGGCTGAGAGAAAATTGCTCCCTGTTAGGGTTGGAGAGAAGAAACGTCACATTCTCAGCGTCATCTGAAGTGAAACCTTTCTCAGATTGCCCTCAACGAGCTTTTTATAAACCCTCTGGCTTGGAGAGTTGACGGAAGCGTTAGAAGCGAAGTCGCGTCAATCCATCCGTTTGACAAATACTTGGTGTACTCTGAATAATCACACTGGGGATGCATTTTGTTTCTAATTTTTCATATCTAAAATTTTACTTGGTTCTTTTTCAAATTTTATTTTTTATTTACAGTTCACATCATTTTGTGTGTTTCAAGTGTACAGTAAAGTGGTTAGACAATCATATACTTTATAAAGTGTTCCTCATATTTCCAGTGCCCACTTGGCACCATACATAATTATTACAGTATTAGTAACTATATTCCCTATGTTGTATTTTACATCCACGTGACTGTTTTGTAACTACCAATGTGTACTTCCTAATCCCTTCACCTTTTTCACCCAGTCCCCCAACTCCCCTCCCTTCTGGAACCGTCTGTCCTATGTGTCTATGAGTCTACTTTTATTTTGTTTGTTGTTTTGTTCATTAGATTCCACATGTAAGTGAAATCATATGGTATTTGTCTTTCTCTGAGTGGCTTATTTCACCTACCATAATACCCTCTAGGTCCATCCATGCTGTTTCAAATGTAAGATTTCGTTCTTTTTTTTATGGCCAACTAACATTTCATTGTATATGTACCACCACTTTTTTTATCCACTCGTCTATTGATGGGCACTTGGGTTGCTTCCACATCTTGTCCATGGTCAATAATGCTACAATGAACATAAGGGTGCCCATATTCTTTAGAATTAGTGTTTTTGGTTTCTTTGAATTTATACCCAGAAATAGAATCATTGGGTCATAAGGGAGTTCCATTTTTTATTTTTTTGAGGACCATCCATACTGTTTCCATAGTGGCTGCTCAAATCTGTATTCCCAAAAATAGCGCATAAGGGTTCCTTTTTCTCAATGCCATCACCAAAACTTATTTATTGATTTAACTATGATAGCCACTTTGATAGGTATGAGATGATATCTCATTGTGATTTTAATTTGCATTTCTCTGATGATTAGTGACAATATTTTTCATGTCTATTGGTAATCTGTACATCCTCTTTAGAGAAGTGTCTTATTCTTGGGGATGCATTTTCAATTCTATTATTTTAACAATAATATTAATCCCTAAATTTAGTGAGCACTTTCTATAAATCAGCCTTTTTGAATGAGATAATACTTAATCCCGGAAGACAAGTAGGTAGATTCTCAAGGGACTAACATCTGCAAACTAGCAAGAGGTGCAAAGCCCAGTGGGAGTGGGGTACAGATGGCAAAGAATAGTCTGGATAAACAAACGCCAGATTGCTGTATGCTATCCCAGATGTAGAACACATTGGAGAGTGTCCTGACCAAAATCAGGAAAGAGGGAATATGGTATTAGTTTAAGAAATGATGGTGAAAAATTTGATGAATCTGAATATCTGTCATATTGTTGTCATTCCAGTACAAAGATGAAGTATAGATATACCAAGAATAATGTCATCCCAGAGTCGCTGGGAGATTTTTTTATGAATTTACATTTGCCCAGTCTCTACTTTAACCATCATACTCAAAAGACTTAGTAAGTGGAACACAGAATAGCTGTGAAACTGTCTATTCTGGAGCTACATTCTTAAACTGTATGTTATTGGAAGCTTTTGTCAAAAGAAATAACCTCACTTCCATAAAGGTAAGCCAAAAAACACCTTACATTTTATGACTTTATAGACAGTTTATAAACATATTACTCATTTTAATATAAAATCATTACAATAGGATTTGTTGTATAAAACAAACTGGAGTTGAACTAGCAACCCATCTTTTTACTAAAAACCACATTAGCAAAGTTTGGTCCCCTACCTCTTATCAATTACAAAAAGTAAATTCCAAATGTGGATCTAAATTGAAAGACAAAACGATAAAACTTTGAGAAGCTGATATAGTACCTTGCATGATGACTGACATGAAGAAGGCTATGACTCCCCCATTATACCCCAACCTTCATAAAGCCCCCAGGGGAAATAACAACAACAACAAAAAGAGTACTGAGTGTTATAGAACCAAGAAAAGAATGATTAACTTTGGGGATATTATATAAGACTTCACAAACTATTTTACTTTGCTGGGGCTGCCATAACAAATTACTACAAACTGGATGGCCTAAAACAACAGAAATTTCTTCTCACAGTTCTAGAGGTCTAAAATCAAGGTGTCAGCAGGGCTGGCTTCTTCTAGAGGCTAAGATAATCTGTTGCATGCCTCTTGTAGCTTTTGGTGGTTGCCAGCAATCCTTGAATTTCCTTAACTCATGACATCACTCCAATCTCTGCCTTTATTATCACTAGGCCTTCTTTTGTGTCTTTGTGTCCAAATTTCCCTTCTTCTTATATGAACACTAGTCATTGGATTAGAGCCCACCCTAATCCCTTGTGACCTCATCTTAACTTGATTGCATCTGCAAAGACTTTATTTCCAATTAAGGTCCAATTAAGTCCTAAGAGATTAGGACTTAAACATGTATTTGGGGGGGTACAGAAGTCAACCCATAACACAGGTCGTGACTTTTCACTTTTGTCTTAAATGTAGGTTCAGTAGGCAGAAGATATTCAAAAAATCCAAACATAAAATAACTAGGACAGAAAAATTGGAAAAGACCCAGACACATGGTCAAAACATTACAGAAGGGTAAGATTTGGTGACTAGCACAATACCTGCTACAATAGGTGCTCAGTAAATTCTTCTGGATATATCAACCAATCAGTCAAAATTACTAAGAGTTTCCTAGGCCTGTGTGACCAGAAACAAGAAAGTTGATTTTATAGGCAATGATCAGTTTAGGGAATGCTGATTTGAGGTGAAAGCAAGAAATGGAAATAAAACTATTTAATAAATCCTGAGATAGGAGTTAAGAAGCGAATGTACAGGGCAGGTTAAGGCTGAGGACACAAATATGAAAGTGGTCCATGTAGGGAGAATAGATGAAGAATGACATTATTTGAGATCTCTAAGATCTAGAATAAAAAGATAAAAGAATTCAGCTTGTGGGGACATAATTCAAGTCAGAGGAGGAGTAAGCTAAGAAAACAGAAAAATCAAGAATGTAGGAATACTAAATATCAAGAAATAAGGAAAATATTCAAAATAAGGGAACATTGAAATAAGGAAAAATTCAAGAAGGATTGCGTGATGAGGGACTAATGCTATGGGACTGTCAGGATAAACCCCGAAGAAAGGCTATTTGATCTAAAAAAATTATTAATATTTTAGACTCAAATATGCTGAACATTTTCATATGTAAACTTGTTATGTGCCATTACCAAGATAAAAATCTGAGCCTTTATTTTTCTTTCAAGAGTCCAGAACAATTAAATAAACTCAGTACAAGAAGAATAAGAGGAACCATGTCCACTGTGAAAGACCAGAAGATGTGGATAATTAATTACCAGGTGTTTTTAGGATGTCCATCTGAAACCAGATGGTATAACATCATTTCTTGAATTTAGGTACAGAGGGTTTCTTATGGACTGAATGCTCGTGCCACTCCCCAAATTCATTTGTTGAAGCTCTAATCTCAGTTTGGCTGTTCTTGGAGAAGGGGCTTCTGAGGAAGGAATTAAGGTTACATGAGGTCATAAGGGTGGGGCTCTGATCAGATAGGATTAGTGCCCTTGTAATAAGAGACACAGGAATATGTTCTCTCTTCTCTTTCTCTCCCTTTCCCTCCCTCTGTTGCGTACCAACCAAGGAAAGGCCATCTACAAGCCAGAAGGAGAAGAGCTCTCACCAGAAATTGAACCCTGCTGAGACTTTGATTTTGGAATTACAGCCTCCAAAGCTGTGAGAAAATACATTTCTGTTATTGAAGCCACACAGTCTGTGATGTTTTATGTCAACCTGAACCAATTAATACAGGATTTATTTGGGATATTTATTTAATAGCAATGAAAAGAAAGCCAAATCATTGAGAAGAAAAATATACGAGATTTGTGCTTATAACATGACATGACATGACAATGAGATTTGGTTTTGTAAGCATTTTTAAAGTTTTTTTTCAACAAACATTGCATCCAGGGTTCTTATAGCCATTAACAGTTTTGTCATCTGTAAAATGCAGGAATTGGAATAAGCTCTCTGAGCCCTTTCATAGTCTCAAACTGCAAACAATTTCAGTAAATGTTTTACTGTAAGAGAAAAAATTTTGCCATATTCTCAGGTTTTTTCACATGTTTGGGGTTCTTCTAAGGGTAAATAAATGTTGGCTTCAAAAAATTAGAACCTTAGCTAATATTGAAATTAGCATGAAAGCCCTTGACTTAAAATTATTTGATTTAAAAAATCAGACTTAAGCCAATTTTTTGGTTAATAAAGTCAACAATGACTAGGAAAAGTTATTATAGCAACCCAGCATGATGTGCAAAAGGCCACAAAGATGATTTAAAAAGAAAATAATCAAATGGGCTCAACCATGAAAGTATTGGAAGAAATTATTTTCTATATTTCAGAGTTTTCTAATCATAGAGACAATGCAATTTAACTTGAAAAATTTCAGAAAACACAAGGTAAGAAATAAAATCACCAATAATCTTTTCCATCAACCCTAAAAGAATAAAAGAATTATTAAAATTGTAGTATATATCATGTTGTGAAATAATAGATTGTTAGAAAAATGTTTTGATATCTTAAATGGGAAATAATTGAGTTACAAGACAATGGAATCCTAATTATATATAAAAATTATATATACATAGGCGGGGGAGAGAGAACTGAAGGAATAATTTTTGCATGTTATCTTCACATGGTGGCAAAAGGGTTTCAGAGGTGGCCAGAACTGCTACACATTCCTATACAGATCCAGAGAAAGACTAAGAGGTCTGAATGACTTGGTCCCCCCGAAGCCATATATTATTGCCCATTTCAGTCACATGCCAGCCTGAATTTCAGTACATAGGCCACTGCAATTTTAAATTTGGACGTCAGGGTAGAACTTTGCCTTGTGAAAAGATCATACCAAGTAAGGTAATAGCATGTGCAAAAGCTCTAATGTGACACTCGACCTGGTGTGTTCAGGGACCAGCAAAGAGACAGTGTGGCTAAAGCGGAATGAACAAAGAAACAATATCACAGGGTAACAGAGCAGAGGGGAAGAGAGGTGTGGAGAGAGAAAATTCAGACAGTATAAGGAGTCTGACTTTTATTTTGACTGAAATTAGAAGTCGGTGTTGGCTTTTGAACAGAGGAGAGATGTAATCAAACTTAATTTAAAAGGATCACTCTGAATGCAGTATTGAGGAAAGCTTGTAGAAAGCAATAGTGAAAGCTACTTTTAGTTAGGGGACAACTATAGTAATCAGATAAGACAGAATGATGACTCAAATCTGGGGTGGCAGCAGTTGAGGTGGGTAATAATGTCAAATTTTAGATATAGTCTGAATAGAATCAGTAGGATGGATTTGCTAGCGGGATTGAATGTGGGCTATGAAGAAATAGAGTCAAAGGTGACTCTATCTATTTTGGTTCGAGCAACTGGAAGGATGGAGTAACCTAGAGGGGGAAATGTGAGTAAAATTAGATTTGAGAGGCATGATGAAGAGTTCAAATTTAGACATGAGTCTGGAGTTCAAAAGGGAGGTCTGAGTTAAACATACAAGGCAGTCCTCAGTAGGTAAATGTTGTTTAAAGCCCCAACACTGGTTGAAATCATCGAGAGAGTGGATGTAAATAAAGAGGAGAATCATGCACTTCAACCCTAAGAGTTAAAGGAAAAGAGGAGGGACAACAAAGAAAGCTGAAGACTAGTGAAGTAAGTGACAATATATGTGAATGTGGAAGACAAGTGAAGAAAGTGTCCAAGAAGGAGGTGATCAACTGTATCAAAAATTATTGATAGGTCAAGTAAAATGAGGACTAAAAACTATTTTTTTTTCCTTTTGGGGGAAAAAAAAGGAAGGGGAGAAGGAGGAACATGCATGACTCAGGACGCTGCCCACTCCTGACCTCCCTGGGAAAGGGGCTGGGGCACCACCATTTGTCCACTGCCCTCGCTGTTCCCCACTAAAACCTATTATATTAGGCAATGATGTGGACATAGATGACCCTGAAGAGAGCAGTTTCATTGAAGTAAGGTAGGGGAGGGGGGTTCTAATTAGAGTGGGTTTAAGAGAAAATAAAAGGAGGAAAATTGGAGACAGCAAGAATATTCAATACTTTATTACAAAAAGGAGCAGAGAAATGGTGTCATTGATAGAAGAGGGAAGTGATATCAAAGAAATTTTTCTTTGTCTTAAGGTGAGAAGAAATAACATCATATTTGTATGCTGATGGGATTGATCAATGAGGAGTGAGAAATTGATGATATGGCAAGGAGTGAGAACTGCTGTCCTTGATGTCTTTGCCTAGGAGACGGGAGATAGGATCTAGTGCATAAGTGAAAGGATTAGGCTTAGATAGGAGCCTAGGTAATTCAACTATGAAAAAGCGGAGAGCGTGTATGTTGGTAAATATGTTGCCAGGTATCTCGATGTGGTAGTGAGATTCTGTGGAAGTTTTCTTCTGATGTATCAGTATTCTCAAGGTCATCATCAGTGGAGCCTGAAGATTAGGGAGAAGATTATGGGAATTGAGGAGAAAAAAAGAAAACATAAAACAGTTGTGGAGGAGACTAAGAGTAAATGGACTAAAGGCACATAGTGTAACTGCCTGGAAGCATAAATGCCCCACTTGAGAGTGATGGCTTTGATTTTAAACTAAATCCAATTATCAAGGTTTGTTTCCCCCACCCATCCCAGTGCAGCTACACTTTGGTGCATGGATGCAGAGCAAAAATTTGGAAGATTAGACTTAATCATGATGGTAGATTTGCCAAGAGAGTTCAACAAAGTGAGAGAGGAGCACGAAAATGGAGAGCATAAGCAAAGGAGGGGTTATAATAATTGAGTGTGGACTTAGGAATAAGGAGAAAAATGAGGACCTCAGGAGCATGGAACAGGATTTTGGATTGGTATTCTGGTAAGAAAGGATTGTTGAAGTCAGAGTACTAAAGGGAATGCACTGCAAGAACAGGCAGTATAGTCAGAGAGTTGGTTCATAAAATAGAAAGCATGGATGGGGTGCAGTTATTGCTAATGACATGTTTTAGGGGATGGGTGCTCATACAAGTGGCTGAAACAAGGTGGAGGACAAGATCACTGGAGGAGAGTAATCAAGGAACTGAGTCCAGGATATTGGAAAGATCATAATCTCTTCTACATATATTGTAAACCACCAAGAATTAAGACATGATTAGTATTGAAGAGAATTACAATGAGAAGGAACTATACAGTCTAAAAATGAGGAGACAGAATTGAGGTGGGGGGGAGCAGAAGATGACAGCAAGAATGAAGAGAAGTGAGTGATATAATCTGATGATATAGAATTCAAAATTCAGAGGCAATTCTAGGGAATAGGGAGGGAGCATGGCCTGATACTAACTACCCACACTGAAAATACAAGAGATTTCACATAATCTATATAGATTCCACATATGACTAATCTGGCTTTCACCTAAAATTCTTTCTTTTTTGTAAATCAGAAAATGTGGCAAAGTAGACTTTGCTAACTGCTTCTCTCACCCACAATGATCTCCTGGCTCCTCTGCATCTGAGTGTGACTCCCATGTTCTAGCAATTCGAGAGCTACCAAATACGTAATGATATCTTGCCTCCTTGCTCACCTTATTCATGTAGTCCCTCTGAGAGACACACAGAGCTTCTTAAGCATGGACAGATTGGTAATAAAATCTTAGCCATTTGAACAAAGGGATATAGAAACTCTTGCCCAAACGGTACTGCCTTTACCAATTTTCAAAAAAATATGTTGTATAATAATTTAGGTGAGAGCGACTTGAAAAATTCGGTAATACTAAATGATAGTGTATCATCACTGTTGATTTCATAGGGGGCGCCATTCCCAAACACTGAAAATCTGAAAAGTTTCAAGGAAGTGTTCATATTTTTTCAGTTAATGGTAGTTGTCCACTCTTGTAGTTATTAAGGCTGGGTTCTTCTCATCACTTTCGATGCATCTCCTCTATTGTCAGTAGCATTTGTATCATGCCAACTGTGGGATGTTACAGCTAAGTGTAGACAATTTCAAAACAAGAGTCAATTTTACTTAAACTCCAAATTGAAAGCAAAAGGAAGATACTGTGAAGCCCTTTGAGGAAGGCCAAAGTGGTCAAACAGTGTTTCATCAAGAATGCCCAGTGAGAAGAGAACACAGTAAAACCAAATACAGTATGGAGAAAGGGACAGCCTCGTGAAGAAAATAACTACAATTTTATTCTACTTTGTTCTCTCTTGTTTTTCTGTTGTTGGCATTTATGTACATCTTTTCCAATAATCAGTTCATATACACACATTGACCTGTTTAAATTTCATGAAAGTTGGGAGGAAAATGTGCCAAAACATTTAGAGCGGTTGTTGGTTGTCTTCAGCTGAGTGGGCCTATGAGTGATTATTTTCTTCTTTCCATTTTTTTCTGGGTCTTTCAGGTGTTCCTCAATGTATCGGTTTTGTGACAGGACGACTAGAAATAAACTTTTAAAATAAGTAATGGCAGGTCTCAGATCCATCCATGCCAGAGGAGAGCCTTGCCAGGGCAGTCCAACTCTTCACTAGTTCTGCAGTTCTGGTCTTCCTCCAGCTTTCACTGTTTGCTTCGTCTCCTCAACACGTCCCAATCCCAGAGGAATGAATAAGACTCTCCAGAACCTGAGGCCAACGACAAGGAATCAGCAGAGGCAGGACGACCCGCCAGCCAAGCCGGGTGTCCCCGGGGACATCTGTGGGGAGCGGCACTTTGCGTCATGTGGGGCCCGCCCCTTCCAGGGCCTGGGCTCGGCGAGTTCTGCTCTCTTGGGCGCCGTCGTGGAAGCAAGATTTCCGCGGTTGTGCAACGGCACCTCGCGGGAGCACAGAGGCCTGGGCCCTGCATCCCTTCTCCTCCTGGTCCCTGGTGTCGGGCAGCCGAACCATGGCCTGGGTGGCGCCGGCGGGGAGCTGCGGGGCCCGCGGCGCGCTCTCGGTGCACACGCTCCTGTTCGACCTGCCGCCCACGCTGCTGGGCGAGCTCTGCGCGGTCCTGGACAGCTGCGACGGCGCGCTGGGCTGGCGCGGCCTGGGTGAGTGCGGCCTTCGCGGGCAGACGCGGCTCGGGGAGGGCGGCGGGGCCTCCGCGCGCTCGCTCCGTCCGACCCGCGGTCTGCGCCGCGGGGCAGCTCTGCGCCCTCCTGGACCGCGGGGAGAGTGCGCCCGACTGTGGCCGTCTCTGGGTGGTTCTCATGGGGAAGCTGCTCTTTGCTCGCCGTGGAAGAGACATAGACTCCTCGAGATCCTCCCAAGAGCTCCCCCTTCTAAAGATACCTAAAAGAAACTTTGGGTATCGCTGCAAGATTAAATGAGTGGAGGCTTGGGAAAAACAGCTACCCGCGTGAAACCATCTAGTGCTATCAACCGTTCCTGCTTTACTCGGTTCGGAATATTGTAAATTAGAATGTCTATGTGATGCCTTCTTGTCATCATTGCTAAGTTACCCTAGATCGGTGTTTACAGTGCACTCTCAAGTGAACACCTGTGAAATGCTAAAGTAAAATACCATTTGTAATTATTGTGGCTCTCAGTTTTTAAATTATCTTATTTACCCAATTTGATGGAATGAAGGTTTATGCTAGAGAATGGCGTATTTGTTTTAATCTAGAAAGTTGGCTTCAAAACTTCATTTTATGCAGTCAATGGAAGGTTGAACAACTGCCTTTTGGAAGTGCTGAGTGTGATCGCCGGAAATGATTCAGACAAAAACCTTTATTTTGTTAAGCACAGGCATTTTTGGTTAACTTTGATACTCCATGATGTCACATTTAATTTTAGTTAAAAAAATACAAAATTATGTCAAGACAATTTAGCCTTGAGTCTCTGAAATAGCTGTTTTTCTTACCAAGAATAGTAGAAGTCCTATGAGGAAAAACATTTTAATTGTTGCTGATGAATATGGTCACACTCTCTGGAATGTGGCATTGAGCTTCTAATTATATAAAATTTGTTTATATATTAAAAATTCTGTAATTTTAAATTATTACTCTTAAGTAAATGCCTCAGAAAAAGATACTTGAGTATTTGATTTCGGAAAAGCATAGGCATTTCCAAGATGCATTTGAGGGATAAGATCCTGCCCTCACCAGGTCTTTTTAAAATGGATGATGGCATTGGCAGTTTTTGCACCCTTTGTTTTCCTAGGGTTACATATTTTGTGAGAGAAAAATGTTTCCAGCCCAGTCCACAGGTAAAATGAGGCCAGGCAGGTATTATAAATGAGTGAAACTCATTGGTGGAGACTTTGAAATGAAAGAACATATGCTTTCATTTAAAAGGGGCAGTTAATAATCAGCCTCTGGGCACTGCTGCTTTTCAAGAAGTTCAGACCAGTGTTGCTGGATCTCTCTTTCTCCATCTCCTTTCCTCTCCTCTCTCTCCATTGAAATCCAGATGTTCATTTTTACATAGGTTGTCTCATATAACCTTCCCAATTGCCCTATGAGGCAGGTGCTAATATCGGTCACCAACGTTTCAATAGGTGAGGAAACTGTGAAACAAATTAGCTAAGCAGCTTGCCAAACTGACACAGCTAGGAAGTAGCAGAGCCAAGACTCAAACCATGGCAGTCTGAATCCACAGCCTGTGCCCTTACCCACAGCCACTCTATATACTTCCCACTTCCCAACCATGGCATTGTCGAAGTCGCAAGTACTACCATGCTCTTTCTGCTACATATTACAGCCTCCCAAAGGTAGAGCCATTTTTGCCATGAAAGAACAATTCATTGAGCCATTTCAAACATACTGCCCCATTTTTCTAGTTGTGGAAATAAATGAAGACCACCGAAATGAGAACAGCAATGGCTGTTTATTCAAAGCAGGGAAGTCGGCCACCATCACTTGCATTTGACAGAAACACTAAGGCAGGCAGAGAAGAAAAACTTTGTAGTGGAAAAAAATAGAAGGCTTCAGGTGTGCCCTGATTGGAGACTGCTGGCATGAGGAAGCTGTAGACCAGCTAACTAGAAGTGGGGCACCCTATGAGACTGTTTAAGGGTGCATGTTTGGCTTTCTCCATTTGGCCCTAAGTTGGAAGCGGGAAAAAATTAGGGAAGCTGTCAGTTATTAATCACATCCTAACCTTTTGGGCCCAATTGCCACAGGGGTTATTGTTTGGCTTCCTGGACTGGTAGCTATAGATACCAATTTGACTTCCTAGACTGGATGACACATGTTGTGGGTCAACATCCATTTTTACATATAGTTTGACCATTGTTCCTTTGTATATTCGTTCTATCATAGAGGAAGGGTCTAAAATGTCTACCTTGATTTTTTAACTACAGTTCATTGTGCAAGGGAGTTGCACCTGTTGACACCTTACACCACATAGCTCTGAAGGAGACCTGGAACACACCAGCTGCTTTATGAATTGTTGGCTCAGTAAGAAAGGTAGACTGTCTCAGTTCAGGGTAATTGAGGGCAACTGCCTGTGTTAAACATGATGAGTTTCTCTATTGGCATTAAAAGAGAATGAGGGGAAGAGGTGCAGGGAAGGAAAACTACCTTAGAAGGGGAATAAGACGTTGTTGGGGAACTGAATTAAGGAGACAGTTCCTTTTATGCTCAGGACAGCGGAAAGCCTGAAAATACAGTGTCCCAAAATTCCACCAAGAAAACAACTATAGTAGTAACAGTAAGACTGTCTCGAGCTGATAATGACTCTTGATGATAGTGAATATCAGGCTATATTTACAAAGGCAGCTCTGACATTGGTAAATTGTATGGCAGCTTATACATACTTATGCAGTATGATACAATCAGGGTATACACAGTAAGGTAGAAGGCCTTTTATGAGACAAATGCCCAGGGCCCACCCCTAGAGTTGTTGATAAAATAATAAGTCTGCACAGAGGATCCAGCATCTTTCTGTTTTTCTTGCCAAGCCCTATAGGTGAGTCCGATACCCAGCCTGGTTTGGGCGCCATTTCTTAGGCAAAATTCTCTTCTTTAATAGCATCCTAACATAACAGTTATTTTACCACACTCTTTTATTACTCCCCTTAATTCTTTTTATCTTTAAGCAAATTCTACATATTAATCTTCAGATCATTTATATCAAGTATTGTTATTTAAAAGAGTGTAATCACAAGGTAATATATTCTCTGGTAAATGTTGATGATTCTATGGCTATATAATGAAAGTAGAGCTCCAAATGGGAAATGTTCTTTATCTTACACTAACTTATAAACATGACAACACATATACAGAGCCTCTGGTGACAACTCATTTCACTCCATTTATAGCAGAGTGGTATTTGAATTAAATTGTTTGGAGCACTTCAGCGATACACTGAGAAGGAAACCCTTTTTACAAATTATATAATGGGTTATATTCAATTTTCTTCTGCTCAAAAAGGAGAGAAAATTATCATAGAAATTATTAATCACTTTAAAACAAATTAAGTGTAAAATCACATTAATCATGTATTTGAATATTCAATACAGGCTTGAAATAGTAATAATAATAATAATAATAGTAGCTGCCATCTATTGTGTTTACTATTTGCTATACTTTATGTGCTAAGCACTTTATATGGATTATCTCATTTATTTATCACAAAAATTCTATGAGATCAGTACTCTCCTATTTCCATTTTATAGACAGGGTAACTGTCAGAACATTTAAGTAATTTACTTCAAACTACAGTCTAAGTAAATTGCGGATTAGAATTCTAACTAGATGGTCAGACTTCACAGCCTATGCTCTTTTAAAAAATGTTTAAATAGACTATTGTTTAGAACAATTTTAAATTAACAGAGATTTAGAAGATAGGGTAGAGAATGTACTCTGTATCCTTCCCATATATTCTTCACCCAGTTTCCCTTATTATTAACATCTTACACTATATGATACATTTGTTATAATATTGAAACATTATTATTAAAGTCCATACTTTATTCAGGTTTCCTTCATTTTACCAAACATTCCTTCTGTCTTCCAGGATCCCATCCAGGACTCCACATTACATTTAGTTGTCATATATTCTCCAGCTCTTCTTGCTGTGATAGTTTCTCAGACTTTTCTAGTTTTGGGTGACTTTGACAGTTTTGAGGAGTACTGGTCAGTATTGGTCTACCATTTTGTACAGTAGAATGTCCTTTGAACTGAAATTTGTCTTACAATTTTCTGATGATTAGATTGACTTTGGGGAGGCAACCACAGAGATGAAGTACCATTTTCATTATATCACATCAGAAGTGCACAGTATTTACATGACTTATCACTGTTGATGTTAACCAGGCTAAGGTAGTGTCTATCAGATTTCACTTTAAATTACTACTCCCTTCTTTCCATATTATACTCTCTGGAAGGAAGTCACCCTGTGCAGCCCACACTTAAGGAATAGAGAGTTGTGCTTCCCCTCCTGGAGTGGAGAAGAGCCTATGTTCTTTTCAAAAGCACCATGGGTTTTTTTGTTTTTGTTTTTTAAAAAAATGTGCTGTCTTTCTGAATACTTTTAAAAGGATAAATAGTTCTTTCAATGCAGAGGAAAAGAACAGACATTGCTCTACCACAGAGTCAAAGCCAAGGGAACTATAAAGCACACTTGGGTATTCGCTGTGCCAATTTACCACCATGTTTTTGTCTCACATCTTAAACGTTCTGTCTACATCTCACTTCTACTGTAAGTTGTAGCCTGTTCTTCTGTTCTCCTTTATGGTCAAATTCGTAAAAAGGGTTACTTATGCTCTAGTTCCTCCGTTCTCCCTTGAATCTGCTTCAATCACGCTGTCATGCCCGCTGCTCCATTGAAATTCCTCTCCCCCAAGGTCACTGTGGCTAAATCCGATGGTCAGTTCTTCTTATTTGACACAGTGGATCACTCCTTCCTCCTTGAAGCACATTCTTTACTTCTAGAATGTTGCACTCTATTTATTTTCTTCTCTTTTTAAAGGTTCCTCTTTACCTCTCTGATCTCTTAGAGTGTCCCTGGGATTAGTCAATGGACCTCCACTACTTATCTGCTATACCTACTATCTTGTCAATTTCCCTTTTGTGCTAATAACTCTCAAATTTTTAACCTGAGCCTC